TGATGTGAGGTCAGCAGCAGTCCATGAGGTTTTGGTGGAACCAGAAACCAAACTGAGTTAGGTTTATAGTGCTGTGGTCACGACCTTTCTTAGTTGTAATATATTAGAGGTAAACACATGCAGACATGTTTTGTTCTGACATATTGACTCAGCTGATTTTAAACACATCTGTGACACATCTGGATCTCTGCCTAAGGTCTTTTTGAGTAGCTGTTGTTGCAGTGTGTGTTAAACTGCGCCTGTTTGCATTATTGTGTGTGTTACAAGATGTGACAGCTGCTGCATTCACAATGAAACACAAAACTTCAACCATGTGCACAATCACACAATTTGTCTCCGTGTGTGTGTGTGTGTGTGTCAGTCAGTCATCATAGCTTTTAATTAGCTCCAAGTCTAAACCAGCTGTAGACGTTAATTAGCAAAAATCTGCTCAGCATTTGGTGATAATGAGATTGACAAGCCCATGCACATCTGACCAAACACCCAAACACACACACACACACACACACACACACACACACACACACACACACACACACACACACACACACACACACACACACACACACACACACACACACACACACACACACACACACACACAGAGCGAGCTGAGCTGAACTTATCAAGGTCATTGAAGATTGATTCACATGGTGAACAGCTGATATGTTTGGTTGAGTTTTTGCGATCAGGTGTATTCTTCCCATCACTGAGACACTGAAAGGTCCAGAGATGTCCAACCCTTGATAAGTGACAGTGGTTCTGGTTAAGATAGAGACACATTAAAGCTACAATGGCTAATTTGGAAAACAAATTAGCTTCTTAACAACATTCTAAAGTAGTATATTGTGGAGATAATAAATAAATAAATAAAGTGATTCTCTTGTATTTGTCTAAAAAGCTCCACCAATACCACGTCCCGGACCACCGTACTTCCCTGGGTTATCCATTCATCTCTCACTCATGTATTTAACAACAGAACACCACTGGCGTGAGAGGTTCTCCACTCAACAACATCAGAAAAGGAGAAACAGCTGGCTGCTACCACTTCAACTTTGAGACAAACTACCAGAGTCCCAGAAAGAAAAACACCATTAGAAGTCACGGAAAACAAAAGATGTATTGACCTAGAGGACAGGGCCTGGTGTGTAGCACTGTCTCTATTCCTTCGGCATCTCAGATTTTCAATTCTGGCAGAAGTGTCTCAGGGAAGATACCGAGGGGAGGGGTGAGTGTTCCGTTACTGTTACACCCCTCTGTGGGCTCAGCTAGGAAGGAGAGGGGAATAAACATAAGAAGGACGAGTTTAACGCAAAGTAACCCTTATGGGGAGAAAAAGGCTTGACAAAGCAAAAACCAAACTCAAAGTGTCCTTGTCTTTACAAAGGGTTTATTAAAAAGAAACAAAAAACCAAAAGAAGGGGCCAAAACCCTTACCAAGAAATTAACCACGCTGTTTCTTTAATTAACTAAAAATGTCCAAAGCACCAACCTCTATAAATCCTAAAATAAATCTCCTTTATTTAAAAAGGATTGGACCTTAAGAAGGGGCAAAATCCCCACCAAGTAGTTAAACAAGGTTTGTCTAAAAGACAAACCAAACTAAAAGTACTAAATTAACTAAAGTTGTCAAAACACCCAAAATAGCTCAGGGAACCGAGACTTCAAAAGGGGAAAAAAACCCACCTGGTAATTTATCCAAAGGTAGTCTGAAAGACTCACCAAACCAAAAATTACCTGTCAACTAAGAATATCCCAAACTCAAAATTTCCTAAGATTACTTTTCTCAAAAGTAAGCAACACAACCTGGTTTTAGCCACAAGACTGAGATAACCACCAAGGGGAGAGAACACACGTTGCTGCTGCAACCTACAAACATTTCTCTCCCCTGATGAGCTCTAGCTGGCCGCTTTTGAAGGGCCAGCTGATGAGTTGAAAAGTCCCAGCTGGCCGTGACTGCTGCTCTGGCGCTGTCCATGGTCCTGAAGTAAAGACAGCTTCCCAAGGAGCAGCTGTCCAAGGTGCTGCGCTGCTGAACTGCTGGTCAGGGAAACGGAGTGCCGCACACCACTGGGCTCCAAAACGGCGGCGGCCGTTAACAGTGACTGTGTTTGAATTGAAAACCTAGCATGCTTTGCAGATTTGTTATAACAGCTTTTAATACGAGCATAATGACTCAATAGAGAACAAGTCTTAAAAAAATGTTCAAGTTCAGGAACCAGTAATTATTGTGTGTGGTGTTGTAATAGGACATTTTAAAACCTATAATCTATAATCTATACACCCGTACATTTCAGAATACTTTCACTTTTTGCATCAAATCTTAAATATCTTCTCTGGTCAGGGAAACGGAGTGCAGCACACCACTGGGCTCCAAAACGGCGGCGGCCGTTAACAGTGGCTGTGTTTGAATTGAAAACCTAGCATGTTTTGCAGATTTGTTATAACAGCTTTTAATACGAGCATAATGACTCAATAGAGAACAAGTCTAAAAAAACGTTCAAGTTCAGGAACCAGTATGAATTATTGTGTGTGGTGTTGTAATAGGACATTTTAAAACCTATAATCTACAATCTATACACCCGTACATTTCAGAATACTTTCACTTTTTGCATCAAATCTTAAATATCTTCTCTTTGTTTCAGTGTCCAGTCTTTGTCCTCTCAGTGAGTTAATTTCAATCTTAGTTGATCATAAATTAAAATCAATTTTAAGAGAAGAATTTTTTATGTGTTTTAAATAGTTGTTTCTTCTTCTTCTTCTTCTTCTTCTTCTTCTTCTTCTTCTTCTTCTTCTTCTTCTTCTTCTTCTTCTTCTTCTTCTTCTTCAGAAAATCAGTTTTCTGTTAAACTCCAGCATCTGCTGTAAGACAAAGAGTCACCTAAGTGAAGCAGTTTAAATGAATTGCTTCATGTTAACACACACATAGGACTGAGCTTAAATCACACACACATAAACGTGCACACACACATGCACTGACAGGCACCCACATACACACGCCACCATCAGCATAATTCATCCGCACACTGTGACTACATTTTCTACCTCATAGAGCAGATTAACTCCAACATTGAGAGAGTGTGTCACTGTGTGTCATCATAAATCTCTATGTAACTGTGTGTGTAAGTGTGTGAGTGACACAGTGTGTGTTTTCAGGTTCAGTGTGTGTGACTTCTGGTCTTTGAAGAGATAAATTTGTACTGTGTCCTCATTTGCTGCTCATAGATAGCAGTTAGAAACCCTTTTGGTGTGTGTGCATGTGTGTGTGTGTGTGTGTGTGTGTGTGTGTGTGTGTGTGTGTGTGTGTGTGTGTGTGTGTGTGTGTGTGTCAAGTGTGCTGGTGTGTGTCTGGTCTTTCCTGCTCATCACATAACAAATTGAGAGTTTAATCTGTTGGACATGTAGATTTACAACCTCAATGTTTCACTCAGAAGAAGCAGGACAGGACCAAAGGACAAAGGAAACATGCAAAGAGACAAAAGGATGAATGAAAGGAAAGATAAAACAAAGAAAGATGAAAGATAAGAAGAAGAAGGTAGAATAATAGAGGAAACATGGAGGAAACCAGGATAGAGATGGGAGGATGGAGGAAATGGGAAAGAAGATATGAAAGAGATGAAACAATGCAGGACACAAAAGTGGAGGAAACAACGGAGAATACACAAGGACTAAAGACACAAGGGAGGAGACAGAAAGAAAAATGACTGAGGAAGGGAGAGAAGAGAAAAAACAGAGGGAAACAAGAGGGGAGACGAAGACAGGAAAGAATGATGAGATGAAAGGATGAATGAAGTAAGGGAGGAGATGGAAGAATAGAGGTTACATTTAATGAAAGAAATGAGAAACACAACAAAAGGTCAGAAAATATGAATCTAGAGATGAAAAGACAAAGACATAAGGGAGGATAAGAAAGGATGGAGGAAAAGAGGGAGAGGATATATGGAGGAAAGAGTGGGAGCAGAGGAGGAGGTGAAGAGAACAGAGATATTTTGTGTCTTCTGTCTGAAGATAAAGTGACGATCAGCTGGGAATGCTGATGCTGAGTGGTTACCTCGGTGATAAGACTGCCTCTGTGTGAGCAGCTGATTAGAGGTCAAAGGTTATCTTCAGACACATCAGCGAATCGGGAACAGATTCCGGCAACTGCTGGGAGACCAACAACAACACCTGTGACAACAAAGTAGGAAACACTAAAGATGTGATAGAAGTGAGCTGAATTACTACGTACGAGAAGGAAGCATTATACATCTATTTGTGTCGTGTTCAAGTGAAGATCAAACCTCTAAGTCTCCTGATCCATGTTCTTCTTGACAAGGTCTCAGATCCAAATGGATGTTTGGATTTTCCTTCAGAACAAAGTTAAAACTAAAGAGTGAAAGGACACATACCTGTATAATTGTTGATTAACTGTAGAGTCATCAGGATCTCTGTAGGAGGTGTGAGGATTATTTTAGTTCTTGAAGCTTTGAAGTGGTTCATATTATTATTGACTATTAATTAACCTGATTGGATCAGGAGATTCTCTTTGTGCAGTTTATTTACAGAGCATCTCTTTTGAGGAACATGTTTTGTGTGTCTGGTTCAGGGTTTTAGCTGACTGTGTGCATTCAGATGGGTCTCTGAGTCACATGACTCCTGGTTGGTTCGAAGGGGTCATTAAAGTCCACTGGCCCAGACCGAGTTGCTCTAATTCTGGATTTCCAGACGAATTAAATTCAGTTTTTCTCAATGTTTTTTTTGAGACCCAGATATGAAGGGATACAAAAAGAAAATTGGCACCAGTATTTATGAATCAAAAGAGCAATTTTGATCTCTCACACACTAAAGAATTTTATTTATGTTTTAATTGCATTATGCTGCATTTATTGTCATTCACTGTCTTTTAAATAATGTCTTAGTGTCTTGTTTATCTGAACTGTAAATCACTTTCATGAATTTCAGTTGCTGTTGAATTAATTCACTCCGACCCCCCCACCCCCCACCCCCCACCGTGTGTGTAGGTTCTTCCTCAAGTTCTTCCTCAAGTGTAACCAGAACTGTCTGAAGAATGCAGGAAACCCTCGAGACATGAGGAGATTTCAGGTAAAACACGTTTATGAATTCATTTCCCTAAAGGGCAGGACATGGCTTTGGAGGACCTGACGTACCCAAAATGCATTGCAGCAGGGCGGCCTAAGGCTTATTGCTTTGTAGATATAATATGAGAGGTCAGCCAGGACCTTCCTTTGTCAGTCACGTGCTCTGCCTGTCTGGATTTAAACGTCCTAAAGTTTGTTGTTTTTCCTTCCAACAGATAGTGTAGGCTATGACAAATAAAATTATTATTTTAAAATAATAATAATATTTGTTATTGTTACCCTTCACAGAAGGACTGAATAAGTAATGTTTTACAAAACTGAACTTTAATCGAATCGCAGCACATCTAATTTCACACTTTTCCTCTGATGACACAACAAAACCAAAGATTTTTAAGACAGCGATCTGAAAAGGCAGGACGCCAGACAAAGAGAAATCCAGAGTTTAATCACAGATTGGTTGTAAGTGACAGTCAGAAGTTGAAACCTGGTGTGACAAAAGAATATAAATGATTTTATTGTTCCAGTGTTTGTGTTTAGTTTATCAAATCAGAGTTTAATGTCAGAGAGTAACAGTTGTCTATGAATTGAAGGGATCTCAAATTTGTTTGCTGCTTTGATTTCGATCGGTGGAGAAGACCGGCCTATTTTTCAGCAAACTATTGATAATGTTTTCCATGTGTCTTTACAGGTGGTAGTTTCCACAACAGTTAATGTCGATGGTCATGTTCTCGCAGTCTCTGACAACATGTTTGTACACAACAACTCTAAACATGGCCGCCGAGCCCGAAGACTGGACCCATCTGAGGGTATGCATCTTTATTCAGTCTTACATGTTCCCTTTGTGGCTTTTTTTTGTTGTTGTTTTTTAATTCCATTCAGGTTATGATCATCTGCTGATCTGATAAAAAAATCATGATTACAAGATTAGAGACAGGTCAGAAACAGATTAGAAACATTCTAAATTAGCTGAATATTGTGAGTTGTGTGTTTGCTGTATGACTCATCACGCTTTAACATCAACACACACACAGTTGCAAAATGCTCTCACGTACATCATCGCAGATCAGCAGTTTAAAGACATGCTGACTGGAATAAAGACGTTCTGGCTGTAACAGCAGATGTTTTGGATGCTGCTCTGACAGCAGGAACCTGAGCAGCCGAGCAGAGCAGCCTAATGTGCTCTTTGAAGACAAATCAGCACAGTGGATTGTGGGTAAGAAGACCAGACACTTCTTCGTCCCCCGAGAGGACCGAGTATGTGTGTGCATTTTTGTGGGCCGTTCACCCTCTTTAATTGCCCTCCTAATTAAAGACAGTCACCATGGTAACCACCCCACCCAGTCAGAGCAGAGCAGTCCCGTGGGCTTGGGTCGTCTCTGCTTGCTTGTTCCACAAAGTCCTGGTGCAAGCCCAAGAAAACCAGAGTATCAGCAGCAGACTCGCTCTGACTTCACTTCAAATCCCCATTTTTATTTTCTAAATGGGGACAGATGTTTCCTCAGAATGTCCAAAAAAGAAAAGAAGTACAAACACCGACTCAGAAAATTAAGGAAACAGTTTAACTGACAGCAATCAAACATTTCAGTGTTGTAAAAATAACCATTAAACAAATAAGTTATGTAATTTTAAAATAGATTTAAAATGGTCAGGACTCATTTTCACTGGTGTAAACTGGTATGAACTAGTCTCAAGTATCTGACACCTTTATGTTTAATTTATGTTGTTTCCACGGATGTAAACTGGCATGTACCAGTTTGGAGCTTATTGAATTTCTTTACACTGATTTATCTGGTTTGCAGATTTAAACTGGTTGCAACTTCATAGAACTTGTTTGCGTGATTTAAAACTGGCATGAACCAGTTTGGAGCTTCAGAGGTGTCTAC